TTCAGGGAGCAGTAAAAAATTTTACAAGACTCTTTTCCACTTCCTTTTTCCCATGCACCACTTGAAAGTCACTTTCTTTTAGTTTCTTTCCAAATGTTAATCAAATCATCATGCACTTATCACTCAACTTTCAAATATATGGCAGGGACACTCCTCCACATGTCACTAGGGAGGTAGATGGCCACATTTCAAACTCCTGTCTCTATTCTCATTTCAACCATAGCAGAAAAAATAGATGTGATATATAAAAATAAAACCAACCAGTTGCCGTTGAGTTGATTTTAACTTATAGTGATCCCATGCGTGTCAGGGTAAAACTGTGCTCCATAAGGTTTTCGATGGCTGATTTTTCAGAAGTAGATCACCAGGCCTTTCTTCCGTGGCACTGCTGGGTGGACTCAAACTTCCAAATATCAGTTAGCAGCCGTGGATGTTAACTGTTTGTACCACCCAGGGACATGAAAGGAGTTTAATTCTCTTGATGAGAAGGTATGCATTTATTTTTGTTGTTTTATTTTGTTTTCACTATATTCCTCTCTTAAATCTTAAAAGTTCCAATTTAAATTTCTAATATCTGAAGTTTGCTATGGTCTCTCTGAATACAGGTGCCCTGTAAATGTCCTTTTTGCCTATTCTTATGCAGATGCTAAATTCCTTAACAGAGCCAGAATCACTGGACATTCTACAGTACACTTTCCTGCCTCTAATGCTTGTTTATTCTTCTTCAAGACCCAACTCTTACCTCATCTTCTTTAGGACTCACTTCCCATGCACATCGGTAACCACACTCCCTTGAAGCCATTTACGTTTTGTCTTTGGAACATTTATTGGTCCCTTATCACGTGGCAGCATTATGTTGTTAGAGATTCACTTTAAGTGAAAGAGCTAATTGTCCAACTGCATTGAAAATCCTCACTCTGCCTGTACGTCACTGTATTCTCAATGCCTGTTACAATACATCATTCATTGCTTCATTCATTCTTTATGCAACAAACATCTACAGAGTGCCAGAGTAAGTAATAATGATCATATCTGGGGAGTGGGACATGTGACAATCCTGTAAAACAAATAATCCATAAAGTGAAAAGGGCCTTAGAGAGAAAAAGGACTATATGTGTATGTAAAAGTTGGAGTATCCTAGAAGTTTTCACTTAACCTCTATCACTAGTGATAAATAGGAGTAAGAGTTTGCTAAAAGGTGAAGGGAAAGACTTTTTTCAAGGTGAAAATAATTACGTGTATGAAAATTTAACAACTAAGGATAACTGTATGCTCAAGGAATGCCAAGAATTTTTGGTGCCACTAAATGGTAGAAAAACAAGTCTAGAAAGTGCCAGACTTTCAAGTGCTTTGTGTGCCACCCCCATCAGTGTGGTCTGTATCCTGTGTAGCAGTAGGCCTTGAATTTTGGTGTATATTTCAGATACTCCTAAGTGTTCTAATGCAGCAGGTCTACGGTGGAGTCTAGGAATTTGTACTTTTAACATCTCAGATAATTCTAATGCAAGTTCTCCAAGATAAAAATTTGAGAAATATCATCTGTAGGCAGTGGGAAACTTGAGAGGGGTTTTAAATAGGCAGCATGGAGGCTGGATTAAATTGGGGAGAGGTTGGCAGCTGGCACACTGTTGAGAGGTTTGGGCACTAGATTAGGAAATGGATGTCAATTTTAATGAAGACAATTGCAAACAGCTTTATTATTTGTTTGTATGTTGAATGATGCAGGAAGCATCAAAAGCATACAGAAGGAATACACAGAGTCACTGTACTAAAAAGAATTGGTCAATGTTCAACCATTTCAGGAGGTAGCATATGCTCAAGAACCATGGTAGTGAAGGAAGAAGTCCAAGCTGCACTGAAGGCATTGGTGAAAAACAAGACTCCAGGAACTGAAGAAATACTGATTGAGATTCTTCAACCAATGGATGCAATGCTGGAAGCGCTCACTTGTCTGTGCAAAAAAATTGGGAAGGCAGCTACCTGGCCAACCAACTGGAAGAGATCCGTATCTTAGCCCATTCCAAAGAAAGGTGACCAATGGAATGTCAAAATTATCGAACAATATCATTAATATCACACACAAGCAACATTTTGCTGAAGATAATTAAAAAATGGCTGCAGCAGTACACCCATAGGAAACTACCAGAAATTCAAGCTGGATTCAGAAGAGGACGTGGAAAAACAGATATCATTGCTGATGTCAGATAGATCTTGGCTGAAAGCAGAGACTACCAGAAAGATGTTTACCTACGTTTTACTGACTACCCAAAGACATTCAGCTGTGTGGATCATAGCAAATTATGAATAATGTTGCAAAGAATGGGAATTCCAGAACACTTAACTGTGCTCACGAAGAACCTGTACACAGAGGCACTCATTCGAAAAGAACAAGAAGATATTGTTTATGGTTTAAAAAAGGAAAAAGTGTTTGTCAGGGTTGTATCCTTTCACCATACGTATTCAATCTGTATACTAAACAAATAATCCAAGAAGCTGGACTACATGAAGAAGAACACAATATCAGAATTGGAGGAAGGCTCACTAACAGCCTCCCCGTGGATGCAGCAGTCAAGAAATCAAATAATGTATTGCACTGGGCAAATGTGCTGCAAAAGACCTCTTTAAAGTGTTAAAAAGCAAAGATGTCACTTTAATGACTAAGGTGCACCTGCCCCAAGCCATGGTGTTTACAATCATTTCATATGCATCGGAAAAATGGACAGTGAAAAAAGATCAAAGAACAACGGACGCACTGGAATTATGGTGTTAGCGAAGAGTATTGAATATACCATGGATTGCCAGAGAACAAACAAATCTGTCTTAGAAGGAATACAGCCAGAATGTTCCTTAGAAGTGAGGATGGTAGGACATTGTTTCACTTACTTTAGACATGTTATCAGGAAGGATCAATCCCCAGAGAAAGACATCGTGCCTGGTAAAGCAGTGAGACAGCAAAAAAAGAGGAAGATCCTCAACAAGATGGAATGACACAATGGCTGCAACTATGGGCTCAAACATAGCAATGATTGTGAAGATGGCACAGGACCAAGCAACGTTTAGTTCTGTTATACATAAGGTCGCTGTGAGTGGGAACTGACTCGAGGGCACCTAACAACAACATTGTTGTGTAAAACAAGACTGAACCTGAATAATTTCTAAGAAACTAAAATACCATGTGCCTTATTCATAATATTTCAGCAGCCATTATGCTCCTCTTGTTACACAACATATTTTCTCACTTAAACCTCATCAAAATCCTGTGAAGTAGAAATTATCATCGCTATTTAATAGATGAGGAAACAAGGATTCAGACAGGTGAAATGACATGCTCAGTGTTACATTAGGCATATGCAATAGGCATGCAGATTAAAATTCAAGTCTCACTCTTTTTCCTATACCATGCTGCTGTTCAAATTACCGCAAAGTAATTTCCAAAGTATGCAACAAAATACAATAGACATCAATTTTGTATGCAACAAATTTGAATATGATTTTGATGTTATTGAAGGCTGACAACACAGGCATCCAATCAGCTCATATCAGGATTCTTCCTATTGCAAATGACAGAAACTCAAACTCAACTGGTTTAAGCAAAATGGGAATTTATTGATGTCTATCAATCAATTTATTAATTTACATGACTTGATTCAGGGAATCAATGACTCTAGAGCCTGGTTTCTCCCTCCCCAGTACTCTACTTCCTTTTTGTTGTCTCCAGGTTCAGTTCCACTTGTTCTGACAAGACTGTTTGCTCCAGAGCTCCAGCCTCATATCCACCAAGTTTCAAGTCCAATGGGAAAGAGTATTTACTTTTTCCCAGCAATCTCAGAGACTCACTGCAGTTAATTGCTTTTATTGGGTCATATGCCCATCCCTGAGTCAACCCCTGTAGCCAGGGGAACTCAATGTTCTGATTCTCCATGTGGGAGTCCAATGCCCGCCTTTGGATTCTGGGTATAGACAACTCTACCAAGCATCATAGACTATGAGTGGAGGACAAATGGTTCTCCAAAATGAAACTGGATTGATATTACCCAAAAATGGGTTTCAATTTGAGGGAGCAACATTAGTAAATATATAGAGTGTTCAGCTAAAAAGAAGAGCAAAGTAACTGATTTTGAATTTATATTTCTATGATAGAATCAATCGAATCCATTGCTGTATTAGATAACACTTCTCTAAATATTTTGATCACTTTAGAATAACACATCACACTGATGAAATTTTAGCAGGAAATCTGTTTTAGATTGTTCCTATCCACACACACACGCACCACATAACACTGTCTTCAAGACTATTTTGTTAATATGGATTGAATCCATTTAAACAAGATTATTCTGTAAACAACTGACTGAATTCTGTTATTTTATTTTCAAAAAAACCCACTAGTCAGTCAAATTAAAGCACCTTTCTAACTTTACAATAATTTGTGTGCATATATAGCTGCAATTCTTCAGCCAAAGTACATTGGTTCTTTTAATCCTTTAATTGATACTTCCTTCCAACAATCCCTGTCTTTTGATTCCCTTTCCAAAATCACTCACTTCTCTAAGCAAGGAGGAAGTTTTTACTGACCCATGTCTTTGGTAGTTTAAGACTGGATAAGCAGGGCCAAATTCCTGAAAGTTTTACTCTTTGGTGATATTTTATATTCTCTTGAGGGTATGGAGGAGCCCTGGTGGTGCAGTGGTTAAAGCGCTCATCTGCGAACCAAAAGGTCGGTGGTTCTAACCTACCAGCTGCCACATGGGAGAAAGATGATGTAGCACTTTGCTTCCATAAAGATTACAGCCTTGGAAACCTCATGGGACAGTTCTACTCTGTACTACAGGGTCACTATGAGTTGGAATCGACTCGACCGCAATAGGTTTTGGAAGGTATGTGTTAATTTTCAACCTGTTAATTTTTCATAGAACATTTCAAGCCTCTAAGACACTGCTCCTCTGTGTTCCAGTAAACCCATTTACAAAAGGTTTATCACAGTGACCATAATTATTAGGGAATTGGTGGTTCAGTAGTAGAATTCTTGACTTACATCCAAGAGACCTAGGTTCGATTCCTGGCCAATACACCTCATGTGCATCCACTGTCATCCTCCTGTCAGTGGAGGCTTGAGTGTTGCTATCTTGCTAAATAGGTTTCAGCAGAGCTTCCAGACTAAGATGGATTAGGAAGAAAGGCCTGGCCTGGCGATCTGCTTCCAAAAATCAGCCAATGTAAACCTTATGAATCACAATGATTAGATCTGCAACCAATCATGGAATGGCATAGGACCAGGCAGTTTTCACTCCATTGTGCATAAGGTTCCCATGAGTTGGGGGCTGACCTGACAGCAGCTAACAACAACACCATAATTATTAACTAAATCAATGGATTACATAAATAAATAATTGTTCTCCAGTAAACCGAAAGCTGGTTGAGGTCACAGCTCTGCATTCTCAGCCTCTAGAACAGTGTTTTGCACATAATAATTGTTTGGCTGAATGGATGCACTTATTAGCAGTCATATGGTAACCAGATAAAATAATGTCACTGAATTGTACATGCGAACAATGTTGAAAAGGGCAAACGATTTGTTACATATATATTTACCATGATTAAAAAAAAAGTTGATTTCACCCAATCCTCCTCTCCTGATGAAAAAAAAAA